TAATTGAAATAGTTTAATTAAAATTCCAATAAAAAATAAAAAATAAGCATAATAAATTACTAGAAATGAAATTCAAATGAAATAAATACAAAATGAAATAAAAAGAAGTAAAGTAAAATAAAGAAAAAAAAATAATTTCAATTAAATCCAGTTAAATTAAAATAAAAAAATAAAGCAAAAAAATATTTAAATTAATAGAACAAAACAAACATTTAAAATAAAACTACAAATTAAATAAAAAAACAAATGACATAAAAATTAAAATCAAAATAAATTTTCTTTAAAAAAATTAAAATAAAAAATTTAATTAAAACTTAATTAAAAAAAAATAAGACAAAATCAAGTAAATTAAAATTAAATAGAATGTAACTAAATTAATGTGATAATAAATTAAATAAATTAAAAAGGAGTGAAATAAGAAATTAATTAAAACAAATAAATAATATTCATAAAAAATAAAATATAGACCAATAAAATAAAAAACAAAGTAAAATAATATAAAACTAACAAAACAAAATAAAATAAATGAAAATTAATTTAAATTAAACTAAATAAAAATAAAAATAAATTTAATTTAAAATGTAAAAAGTAAAAATGAGATAAAGCAAAATAAATAAAAATAATTATTAAATGTAATAATAAAAAAAAATTAAAATGACACTAAACAAAGTGCAATAAAAACTAATAATGTAAAATTAAATTAGAGAAATTACAATTTAATTAAGTGAAACTCAATAAAAATCAAATGAAATGGAAGAAAGTAAATTAAATTACAATTTAAAAAAATGACTAATTGAAAATAAAAATTAAATTAAACGAAAATAAATAAAATGAAGTAAAGATGTAATATTTAGTTAATATAAAGAAAAATAAATAAATAAAAAAAATCAAAAGAAAAACTAAAGCAAATTAAGGTTTAACATCTTTACCTTAATTTGCTTTACTTTTTCTTTCTTCTTAACAAAAATAAATTATGTTTAATTAAACAACAGAAATTAAGTTAAATTAATTCATATGAAAAAAAACAAATTAAGCTAAATTGATGTAAAATAAAATAAATAGAACAAATTAAAATTAGATATATTCACCGAAATAAGTTTCTAAAATTTTATTTCTACTCTAACGGTTAATTCTTCAACTACTCCCCATAACTTAAACACACAACTCATCATATAATACTTTTTAAAATTCCTTGTACAACACTTAAAACTAAATATTCCACCCCCGATTTCTTTTTTTTTTCTTTTTCTTCACTCATATCTTTAGCACAACAAGCTTCCTTTGACTCACCCCTCTCGCAAGGAGCACACAAATGCGGGAAATTATTATTTTTCTTCTTAGTTTCCATGGCAAACTAGTTAAAAATGTGACCTGCGTAATTAATTTAAATTCTTAAAAGAAATTTCTTTGCCTCTAAGACGACACAAACAATGCGCAGGCAAATGAATGCAGGATAACTAACGGCAAGCGAAAGGAAGCGGAAATGGTAAACTAAAAATAGAAGAAAAAATTTAAAAAAAAAAAAAATGGATAATAGTAAAATACTTTGCATGTTCAGTCAGCTAATTGTGCTGCCTAATAATTTACCTCCATCCATTAGTACCGAGTAAATTAGTGAGTGAGTGAGTGAGTAGTCCTTGTTGTTACGAGTAAATTGCACGAAATAGCGCGGAAGCAGCCCGCAGCCAGCACACATTTCTCCACAATAAATGAAATTCTTAAATAATATTAAATAAATATACCATAACAAATTCGTTTTGTGAATATTGCGGGTAAAACTTGCCGTATTTTGTCCCTTTTTGCGCAACCATTGAACACTGCGGCGCCTTGTTGAAAGAGCACTTCGCAAAATGCTTGAAGCGTTTGTTCAATGCGGTGCGCAGAACTAATTGATTTTTGGCGTTTCTAGCTGAAGGAAAGAGGAAAATATATCAGAGTATTATATAAACGCCGCCAGCAGCAGCTTGTTGCTAACAAATCACACAATTTGTTGTGGACATTAAATACTAGTACAATGTGTCAGCGTCCAAATGGCGGCAGGACAATTGGACAAATGAAAAATTAACACACTCAGCTGGTCGAAAGCATGCCCTGCCAGACAACGGCTGAGTGGTCCAAGTGAATGAATGTAGGCATAGGAAGAGCATTGCAAATCGCTTGATTGTTTGTTGAGAACCGCATACTTATTTAGACAGCAAAGAATGGCTAATTAAAGTCTATTTAAGATTCTGAAATCATTTACAAAATACATATATTTTTCGAGTTTATTGAATATACCAGCAGTAAGTTATATTCTCACCTCAATCGCCTTAAATAGGAAGTTAAGTAACAGAGAACCTCGCTCAAGTATACTTCGGCTACCACATTTCGTCTCTACGTTCAAGCCATTAGGTTTGTTCTCGTTGAAAGTAGTTGAGTAAACTTTATTTTATAAAATTTCTGCTTTATTATATAATTTCAACTGTTATTTTATGTTATGTGTAGCACTACATCATTCAAATGATCACCTCGCCGTTTGAAGTAATTTTCGACCACTTTTTGACCCATACTAGCCGGTATGTCAGTCATAACTCGACGAATGTTGGTTTTAAAGTGCCCAAGAGTTTCGCGTAGCCCCACAAAAACAAGTCCAAAGGTGTCTAATTCCACGATATCGGTGGCCAGTTTACATATCCAAGACGAGAGATTATACGTCCGGGAAGTTTCTTTCGTAATAAAGTTGAAACCACATATAGTTGTCATTTGCGGGCAAAAAAAAAAATTCGGTTATCATATGATTATAACGGGACAGCGACAGTCTCGCCGTTGCAGTTTTTAAAAAATGAAATACGGTACCTACGTATCAAAGAGCGAACCAGCAAGTACGTTTTTCTTTCGATCTAATGGCCTCTTTTTAGTAATAAGGTTGTCAAATATCTCCCTTCCGCTTTTTTGCTCTTCATTCAATGCTTTATAAAAAGTGTTACAGTGATCGGATTTAGTTAAAATATGCGCCGTTTTGTTCGATGATCTGTTTCCATCTAGACGGCAACTTCATACAATAATACCTTCCTCGTAGAAGCCCCCCTCCTTATTTGCGAAGAATTCGGACAGCCACTTTTCACAAGCCTCTTTTGAGTTCAACTTTACACCACCAAGGGCATTCGCCATGGACAGGAACAGGTGGTAATCACTTGGCGCTACGTCCGGGCTATATGGTGGATGCGATAAAACCTCCCATCCGAGCTCCCGTAGCTTCTGACGAGTCATCAACGAAGTGTGTGGTCTGGCGTTGTCCTGGTGGAACACTACACCCTTCCTGTTGGCCAATTCTGGACGCTTCTGGTCGATCGCCTGCTTCAAGCGGTCCAGTTGTTCGCAGTAGATGGTAGAATTAAGCGTCTGGCCATATGGGAGCAGCTCATAGTGGATGATTCCCTTCCAATCCCACCAAACACACAGCAAAACCTTCCTGGCCGTCAATCCCGGCTTGGCCACTGTTTGGGACGATTCACCGGCCTTCGACCACGACCGTTTTCGCTTGATATTGTCGTATGTGATCCATTTTTCGTCGCCAGTCACCATCCGCTTCAAGAATGGGTCGAGTTCGTTCCGTTTCAGCAGCATATCGCAGGCGTTGATTCGGTCCAGAAGGTTTTTTTGCGTCAAATTATGCGGCACCCAAACATCAAACTTTTTTTTGTATCCAGCCTTCTGCAGATGGTTCAAAATGGTTTGGTGACTAACTCCCATCTCCTGGGCGATGTCACGAGATGCCATATGCCGGTCTAACTCGATGTATTCCATGATTTGATCGGTATTTGTCGTCACAGGTCTTCCGCCGGCTGGCTTATCCATGGTGTCGTTTTCACCGGCTCTGAATCGTCGAAACCATTCCTCCGCGGTTCGAAGTGATAGAGTACCATCCCCCAAAACACCATTAATCTCACGGAACGTTTCTCTAGCGGATTTGCCTTTAACGAAGGAAAACTTTAAAATAGCGCGAATTTCGGCGTTAGTGAGCTCCATGTTTACACGTCTATAACTGTTGAACGCAATATCCAAACTAATCATGCATAGCGTTGTTTTGTAGGTTATGTCAAGACCTTTCAAATTATATACGAGCTCTGTAGCGCTTTGTACATAGCCGCGAAATTCAAAAGACAAAAAAGCGGAAGGGAGATATTTGACAACCTTATATTTGAGGATTATCCTAGATTTCCTAGATATGTGTTTATGAACAGCCTTTCAGGGTTTAGTATACGATCCTTTATTTTAATCTCATCATACTTGTGCTTAATCTGCTTTCTTATCTTACATTTGACTATAGGTTTCCATCTGTTCTGCGCTACTTGTTCAAATTTTAAGTGCAGCTCTCTCCGGAATGCTTCTAATGGAGTTATTTACTTCGCTCTTAATTCGTAAAACGATGCGTCCAACTTGCCAACTCGTTACCGGATGCACGGCCATATCAATTTGAATTGCAACTGCCGTCTACCATCAGTCTGTGATGACAATCATGACTAATTTTTTTTTGAGCCCGCGTAAACCATTGTACTTTCTGCTGTACATCACTTTCGTTTGCGTTTATATTTTTTTATTTTTTTCTTGATTTTTTTGTCATTGATTTCGTTTAAAAAACTGTCTACTATAACACTTCTTTTCTCGTAGCAATATTTTATTTCACGTTGACTTATTCTTCTTCTATCAATTTATTCATTCACAATAAACAATTTTCTGATATTTTATTTGCGAATTTAATGCAATTTCTTTTCGACTCTGCTGAAATTGAAATTTATACACTATTTAAGTTTTTTTTTTTGTATTTGTTTATAAAGTTAAATTGAATCATTTGGCAAATTCAGCTGGAACTGGAAATAGTGGTGAAAATCCTTGAACTCTCAAATTTAGAGTAAAACACATTTCTTTTTATGCTCAAAAATAATATTCTTATATTTATTTTTATTTTTATACATAAGTAAGTCTTTTGCTCAACTAATTATTCCTGTGGCTCTTCGCTGATGGGCGTGAACTCAGGCAAACGAATTGGAGGTAAACTCAAGTCTGGTGGAGGTGCGGCAAAATTTTGTGTGCGCTGGAAATTCTGCAAAAGATATTAAAAAAAAAACATTAAAGCATTTTTTTTTTCAACAATTTCACCTGCAACTAATTATAAACGAGACAGTTTAAAATCGAAGAGACAATATTTTGGCAAGCAACAGAAAATTTATTTAAATTCAGCGCATAAAAAAGGTAAACAAAATTTTAATAAATTAAAATGCATTTCTTTTGACTACAAGAACAAACGTGTTTCACTTGCTTACTCAGCATTTTTGTCATTTAAATACAGTTTTTTTTTAATTAAATTCACTTATTGTACGTGTATGTATTTATGTTTGTAAACAACTTACGTCGCTATAACCGATTGTTAAGGCGGCGTGCGCCGCTGATAAAACAAGCAAGATGGCAAACAGATAAGCGATAAAGCGCAGCATTTCTTATCGTGTTTGATTTTCTTTGAAGTGTGTAAAATAAGTATACAATTAGTACGTATGTATGTATGTATGTATGTTGGTATGTGCAGCAAGTTGGACAACCGTTGTAACCGCCTGCTGTTGTCCGATGTTTGCTTGGTAAATGATGCTTGGCAATTGATGATGTTGGTCTCTTATATTATTCTCAACTTGTTGCGAAATGTTAAGTAGACAGTCACAAAGCCAGTCACACAACAGACAACGAGCCAATTTGCTGACGTCGACAAATCTCATTGCAATTAATTGTTGTAAAGGTGTGAATGTGCAGCGGCAGGTCATTGAAATCATAATTTATCAAAGGAATGTTTAAGTGTATACACACAACTACTCACATATTTTAAGATAATAAGATTTAGTATTTCATTTGCATTTTAATTAATATGTAATGCATGCGTGTAGTGATATGAAGTAACAGTGAAATGAAGATAAATTACAGTTAAAATGTTTGTCGGAACTTCAAAATTTTTTTAAATAAATTTTAAGCGCATGTAAACTAAGAAAAATTCGCCCGAAGACAAAAACAAAGAACGTATGTTAATTAATATACGTTCTTTGACAAATAACTTGACTCATGCGCTATTGTGAACTCGCCCAAGTGCAAGAAGTAGACCAGATGTTTGCATTTATTACAAAGCGCCAATAAATTAAATTCATACTCGCATTTTAATTATGAAAGTTGTTATTTGTGAAAATTGGAATTGTTAAAAATAACCGTTAGTTGTATTAAACTGTAAAACGCACAGCAGTTAAAACGTGTAATCTGCTTGTATAAGCTGGGGAAGTGAGAAAATTGCTGACTCACACTGCCACTCGATGGTTGGGAAAAAAATGAAAAATTACTAAACATAAATCCTTAGAAATCAACAAATAAATATTCATAGCATTTTTGCTTAAGTAAATATAGAAAACTTTCACACAATCACTCAAACGCTTGTAATCCGTATTGAAAACAATTTAAGCTCATAATAAATGTAAAGTTAATTGCATTTCTTTTGTTGTCAGCAAAATAAAGTGAGTTTTTTTTCTTTGTGAGTCCATATGTAGAAATATACATACAAACATACACACGCGTGAGTGCACAGCAAAGCTACTTATTTTCCAAAAAAAAAAAAAAAAGCTAAAAAATATTCATTACTCAAAAACTTCGAAAAACTTTAATCGCATTGTAAACACAACCACTTTTGAGACATTTTTCAACAGCTTCCGCGCATGTAATCCTCTGCAAGTCCAGCGGATTACAACACCATTTTTCGCAGATATCAAATTGTAGGGTAAACCAGTTCCTATCCCCTACTTCAAAAATCAAATCAAAGCAATCATTTGACTTGCGACCGCGCTACCAAATCCAACTGTCGTTGCTCACTTTCCGCCGGCAATTCCTTACCGTCTATTTATTATACCAGAACTTGACCATTTTTTGCGCAGCTGCCATTGTCTGCCGGCAATATTTACAGTCATAAAGCGCAACATCCTCCTCACTTTTGACAGCTTTCAACCAGCAAACATATGCAAATTAATGACGTCAGCCCCTTTTTCCAGCGCCTGCACTAACTTCGAGTTCGTACTATAAAACATTTTCCATCTTTTGCGCTTTTCATGTTTTTCATAATTAACTTTTTCTTGTTTGTGTTTCATTTTTTTTTTTTTATAAATTTTCTTTTTTCAAAGGTCCATCCCTTTGTTTCAGCCGCAATGTCCAGTTGTAAGCCTTTTGTTTCAACCCAACCACCACCACTTTCATTGTGTTGCTTAACAAAAAAATGCCTTTCTTAAAATAAGATTTGAAATTTCTCTTCTTTTCTTATGCCAAGGCTACCCTTTGAAAAATGATTATGTTGCTATTGTCGCCGAGGTGCTGTTATGATTCAATTAACGGCGGACAAGTTGACCAGAGAATGTAAGATTTATGTATTTTATTACAACTACTTTCTCCTGCCGGCAGCTGAATTCCACATTGCCAGCATTCGCATCCTTTTTCCTGTTCTTCTCGGTTTCTTTCCGCTTATGATGCCTTGGCGAGTTCTCTGTTTACATCAACATTTTTCTTGCCTTAAGGCTCTCACACTCAGCAATCACTCGCGCGCTGTATTGTAATAAATTAAAATAATTTTTAACTTATGACGAAGTTACTGTCAACTTTAACGGTTTATTTTGATAATCTTGACTAATGGTCATTTGATATTTTTTTTTTGTTAGTTGCTTGGTTGACTAAATGGTTTGGGAAATAGATACAGAATTGTGTAACCAGGTTTTTGGATGAAGTAGAACTAATGTTCCAAACAAACTTGGCTGGTTTACCCAAGCTTAAATTGTATGGGAAAGAGAGAAAGAGTATGTTCTAACACCTAGAATGAAATGTATCATGATCTAACATCATAAAGTCGTGGAATAGTATTAGCTTCGGGTGCTAGTGGGGTCAATTATCTCCTTCTCCACTTGGTCTTTCTAACAGAGTGGGTTTTTCCCCTTCCTCTGCTTCCACCGGCGTTTGTTGCTGCCAGCGCAGACTTTATTTCTTGAATCGCAGAACTCTCATTGTTCCATCGCATGTGGTATTCGCCAATCCCACTATAAATCTACTATAAATCTTACGCCAAACCTCTCTATCGAAAACTTTTACCGCCTACTCATTTGATGTCATCGATCATACCTTCGTATCATATAGCATAACGGGAATGATGAGCCACTTGTAGAGTTTGGCCTTTGTCCGTCTAGAGAGAACGTTACTTTTCAACTGCCTACTCAGTGCAAAGTAGCAGCTGTTGGCTTGTTTTTTCCTCAGCAACATATATATAGTAGAATGGGAGTTGTCTGCTCATTGTCTCTTGATGGCAAAAGCTCCACATTGGATTTCGGGTAAAACATTTTTATTGCTGTTCATTCTAGTCCCTAAATTCCAATTAAAAAATACTAAAGCTAAGAATAAAGATGTGATATGTGTATGTATTTTAATTACAGCTTCCTGGACGAGAAAAAAAATTAAAACTCAGCAGTGGAATATATAAATTCACTCTAAGACTAGCCTCGAGAGACCCGCGTGACCCTGACACAACTCAGGTCTGGATATTGTAGCAGGTTAAACTCCTACCTATCCAGACTGGACCCCAGCATACCTAACGTATGCCCGGCATGTGGAGAGTCCCCGCACAACACTAACCACCTCTTCACATGCCCCCTCAAACCCACTCATCTAACCTCCCTCTCCCTTTGGTCCAACCCCGTCGAAACAGCTCGTTTCCTGGGCCTACCACTAGATGACCTCGACGACTTAGACTGAATAAACCTGTGCCTAAGCGGGGTTAGCGGACCGCTACAACAACAACAACAACACAACATAAATTCACTCGCAACATATGAGTGCTCCTTAATTATAGAAAATGTTCAGTCTGCCAAAGTTGACCCGTGTGCGCGCTAAGTACCGCACAGCTTTTTAAACCATTGTACCTTCTATACTCAAGCTCAACGAAACTCTCCGAAGGAGTCCTTAGAGCCTATGCCTCTATCGCAGTCAATGTTACAGATATATGTTATATATATATTTGGCACTTTGTAACCGTTCTTCTTCCAATTTGTGGTTTTGCGTCTTGATGTTTTTTCAGCAAATGTAGGGACCTGCCGTTTATACTAAGCCGCCTCCGAACGGCTGATGGTGTTTTTTTTTTTTTTTTGAGGAGCCTTTATTTCATGTTAGAAACACACTCGGAGGGGTTGACATTCCCTTAATGACAACGATGCGATTACGGATTAGATTAATCATCTTTTCAACGCAACTAGCGCTCAATTTAATGGCTGGGAGAAGTTCTATTCCAAGTACATATTGATCCTCCACTACCGAAGCGCTTACTAGAAACTCCTTCGATGCAATTACTAGAAGTCCCTTCTGCTAAATAAGATTCATTCTTACTTTCACTATTTACTATTTCCCAGGACCAGTAACAAACAGACATACCAATTTTCTCTTTAAGGAATCCCTCAAAATAATAATCACATTTACGTAGTAACAGTTTTAACGTCTTTTTCGACGGTAGTTAAAGTGACATAAATGTATGATGTATGTATGTATGTCTGTAATGCATACAAATTTACAAATATTAATATATAATTGCTTGAGAAAAAGATTTTTATCTGTATTACACAGGAGAGCGAAAACCAGCGAAGAAAAATACAAAGCCAAGAGGATTCCAAAGAAAGAAGCCTCATAAGCTAACTCCTATAGACCGGCGGAGAGTGACGAAGAGGGTGTACAAAAATATACGTTACACTTTTTATGCGTTGAATCAAGTTTACCTACATTTAACTACGCTTGTTTGTATGTGTGGAAATACCTTTAATGACGGCACTCAACCAGAGTTGACCAACCAACTAACCAAGCAGTGCTGGTGTTAACACAGCCCGCCTTGACCCTGTTGCTCTTTGTCGTGTTCTTGTTGGCGTTGGTGGTGGTGGTGGCAAGTGCTTACATTTTTTGGCCTTTAAACTACATACATACATACATTCAAACGTTGCAATGGAAGATGGTCAAGTGCAGCTCATCACAATGACGACGAGTGTGTGACACCCAATGAAAAAA